AGAGAGAGAGAGAGAGAGAGAGAGAGAGAGAGAGAGAGAGAGAGAGAGAGAGAGAGAGCAAGTGCGCGAGTGAGTGAGCACATGACCAAAGGAGCGAGCAAGGGAGTGAGCAATGGAGTGAGCAAGTGACTGCGCAAGTGAGTGATAGATTGATAGAGTGATACAGTGATTGATTGATTGAGTGAGAGTGAGCAAGCAAATTCCTAGACTAGTACTGGACAGATAAGGCTCTATTCTTGCTGTGCACCACATTGCTGGACTAGCACGATACATCTTCAAGTATGTCTGGCCATTCCACATTGCTCACATGCTTGTATGATTCCTGGGTTGATTACCTGTTCTCCCACAAGACCTGGCTACTGCGGAGGTCGGTTGGCGTCCAAGTCTTGGGGGTATTGCTGCCCCGTCCACATAGCAACAGCTACGTCCGTCCCTGTAACTTACTGGCCCACCATCGCGGCTGCATGCTGGCTGCATCAAGCTCTTGCTAGATGGATGGGGCAAGCAATGCCCCCATCCACCTTGCAACATCTATGTTCCTCCCCCCAACTGTCCTGGCTCGATGCAGCCAGGATGATGCACCAGGATAATGCGCCAGTCAATTTCATGCTAGATGGTAGTGCAGCTACTCTGACTGTGGTAGAATTTTAGTGGGACAGTTTGTCTGGACAGTTACTGCCTTCAGGTCTTAAACAGTTGCATAGCCTGAGCCATCATCCTAAATACGGAAATTAACAGGATCATATCATCATACAGATTAGATTGATGTGCAGACACTTTGGTTGTGAGAGGTCTGAGCTCTCAAGGCATCGATTGATAGAAACAAACACAGGTGACTGATTGGGAGGATGGAGAGAAGGATATGGAAGATGCCCAAGGCCAGAGGTCCTGGCCCTGGGGGCATTGATTTCTGGAAGAAGTTCGAAGAACTGCAAATTGCCAAGTGTAACGATGATGAGCAAGAGAAAGACGATGCCAACCTCTGGAGATGTGAGATCGACAACTGCTTTGAGACCTGCGCACGTAACAGCCTGCTCCACTGCTGAGGCAACCACTACAATGCATTCAGCCCTCCCAAGAACTTCGGCGGCGGCCTTTTGGCCGCCTTTGCCTGGCAACAATGAACCTCCTTGGCCGGCATTTGCCCGGGACTTGTATCCGACAGCGAACTGCAATCAACAAACATCAGAACAACCATCCTAACTCATCGTTTAAAAACGAGTATTTGACAATTTGTTGCAATGACGCAATGTGCAAACAAGGTGAGCCATGGTGAAGCAGGGGCAGCACAGTGAAATAGGGTTTGAAACAGGGACACAGGTCAATGTTAACGGAAGGCGAAACAGCAGAGAGCACAGCATATTGTGGGCTTGTGGAATACACACGGCTTCTTTTTTTCCTCATAACGATGTGATGCCTTTTCCTCTGGGCAGCAATGATAACAGTCCATGTTTTTCATCAGTTAAGGAGAGACAATACAAGAAGCAGGGAGCATACTGGTCCTTCTCTGCCACACCATCTTCTGCATCCCTCTTCTGCACGCTTGACAGACTTCTGTCTTGTTGTTTAGCGATCAAATATCTGACATAGACCCTCTTGGCTTGCTTCCAAACACTACTCATTCAGTCCCTCTGGGATGTGTTCACAACAGAAGAGGGAAGGGGCAAGAAGGACAAAGGTATCGTTCGGTCTTTTGGACTTGAAATCACACTCTGGTCTACCTTTCTGTACTGGAAGGCAACACTCTTCTTCGTTTCTCTCTCCGTCTTCACTTCAAATCCATCTCTCTCTCTCTCTCTCTCTCTCTCTCTCTCTCTCTCTCTCTCTCTCTCTCTCTCTCTCTCTCTCTCTCTCTGTCTCTGTCTCTCTCTCTCTCCCCCTCTGTCTGTCTCTCTCTCTCTGTGTCTCTCTCTCTGTGCACGTAGCTGTGAGCCATCAGTTCCGTGCCGAAAGGCAGCAAGAAGAAGCTACATGATAAAACAACTACTGTCGCCTTATGATGCAGTCATTACTTGGAAGAAGGGGGGTGGTCGAGGAGGGAGGACAGCCCCTGGGGTTGGCCTCCCAGCTGTCCTCTCTTAGCTATGGTGGATACTTGCTAGTTATGGAACTTGTCTTCTTCATGATCTGTCTTTGAGTATGCCCATATTTGCAAACCTGCAAGGCAGCGGCCTTCAAATTGGCAGTGGATGTGATCACGACACAGGTTTGGGCACGATGCTGACCTTGAGGCATGGTGACATCCAGTTCTCTCTTCTGCTTACGAATGGTGCTTTGACCACTTCCGGCCTGTAGGGCCATTGGAGGGCATGCATTCCACTTCTGCTGGCGCTGTTCATTTTGATCACCAGATGTGAAGATACATTTTTCTGGCATCTTTGGGCATTGACGGACGTCTGATATATGGGATCAGATTAATGGACGGCGTTCCAGTCTTCATTGGTTTCCAGAAAGGACGACCTGAGGCTATTGAAAAAGCTAAGAAAATTTGGAGGCTATTCGAGACATGCTATTCGAAGTCCTTGACCTTAAAAAGGACTGATGAGGATTCGGGGTCTTAGGACTTTCTAGGATGTAGACTGCGGGTGCAGCAGCGGTATCCCTATTTGGGTTGTTTCCAGAGAACTAAGAATCGGACACAATTTGGGCCTCGGAGAATATCACATTTCGGACAGGTCAGGATTTCGAATCCTGGACCTGCTGGAAGCAGAAATTGGCATCGATGGCTGAATCGGATTGACCGAAACACTACCATCCGGTCCCAGATTCCGATACAGGTTCTCAACTTCTCAGGCTACGTAAGGAATTTCGTGTGAAGAGTTTCTCTGACCGATTCTTCGCAAAAGCCCTCGGGAATTTCATGGGGAGCCGAGATGCGATTTGGACGCTGACGGCTGCTCTGCTGTGTGAAGGTTTGCAGTCGTATAGAATAGAGTAACTATGTAACACTTTCTGTTGATGCCAAAGTCCTCTCTCGACGGCATGGCTCCGGATACTTACCCGCTTTGGAGTGCGGAATGATGGTACGAGTCAAGGGCAGGAGAAGGGTGGGAGGAAACGGGATTCTCGAGTTGTCGTTTTTTTTTTCCCCCCCCTCGAGTTGTCGTCTGTTACAGCCTCTTGGATTACATTACCTTAAAAATTGCTCATGCTTATGTCGACTTGCGCACTGGATCTCAGATTGTGCTTGTGCGTGTTATGTGCATACTTCATGTGTACGTCCCATGATCTTGGTTCGTGTATTGAATACTCATTATATATGTGCATACTTCATGTGTATGTGCCATGATCTTGGTTCGTGTATTGGATACTCACCCATTGTGGATTCACACTGTTTGTCTTGAGGAAGCTCAGGGTTGGAGATGAAAGATGAATTACGATAGGGAAGCTATGATGAAGTTCCAGGCACGTAGAAGTTAGGGTTGAACCTTGGACATTGATTCCTCCTATTGTTTTTGCTTACGTTAAGCAATCGAGTAGAGCTAAAGATTGCTGAGGAGGGGAGACGAGATAGGGGGAGTAGTAAATAAGGATGAAATCATAACAAGTGACATCTTCTTGTTCACTGTGATTTCTCTTTTTTCTCTACTCCTCTTCCTCTCTCTCTATCTGCCTCATCAAACTCCATTCTTTGACGCAATGTTCAGTAGCAATACCAGCAATGCATTTTGAGTTGTGAAGCTGCAGTGCATTTTTGCACTTAGGTTTTCCGCTTTGAACAATGAAACTGGGAGTATCACAGCACTAACTTTCTCACCCAGGTAGAGAAAAGGACAATTGCTTGCTCACTTTGACAGTTGACTGTTCATCACCATCTCTCCTCCTCCTCTCCAGAAATGCCGACATGAGCTTGTGTACTTCTGATCCAATTGCCTCTCCCTCCAACGGACATGTGGTCTGCACAGGATGTATCCTCTGGCACCATCTGCTGTTGACATAAATCAGCTCGTTAGTACTGCTTGTCAGTCACCTGGAATACACAACCTGTCCAAAACAGGGATCCAATCAGCATGCAGAAACATGGAATCAGAACATATTACTTCTCCCCCTCCTCCCCCCCCTCCTCTCTCTGTCTCTCTGTCTCTCTCTGTCTCTCTCTCTCTCTCTCTCTCTCTCTCTCTCTCTCTCTCTCTCTCTCTCTC